AAACTATATCAGAGCCTATCATAAAAATAAAAATCATAATGTTTATGAAATTCAGGAAAGGATAAGGGTTCAAGATTTTGCAGACAATTTTAGATAAATTTAAAAAGTAATCAAAAGTACAACATTAATGGTACATAGAGTTTTGGATCTGAGTGTTTGGCACACAAAATCATCTTTAGTGTTCATTCCATTATTGACTTAAGGGCTATTTGATTTCATCCTACATTTACATATTAATAATTATGTTTAATTAAATGCCACATATTTTGTAAACCATATAGTTCTTATTGCCAATTTTTATGAAGACTTTAATAAGTTACAGAATATGCTGTAGGAATATATTATTTACTCACTAATTTTTATGTGGTAAATTACAGAATGTTAAAACTTTTTTAACAAGGGTATCACAGCCAGTTTCTCTTCGATAATTTTCAAATAATAGGCAATAAGCCTTAAGTTTTATTCCTTAACTTTACAGATAAAAAATGTGTATCAGAGCTGCTAAATCACTAAATTATATATGTAAAAATGTAACGTAAGCCTAAGTGACATAAACAAGGTGAGACAATAAATACCAAAACACACATATAATTGCCCAGCTTTTTCTAATTCCTACTTCTGATGCTGTAGCTATTGCAAGAAAAGATTTGGTCTTTTTTGTTTGTTTTTAAATTTGGTACTTTCTAGCTCTATCTGTTTAGGATGCAGTGCAAATGTATTATAGGCCCCAATCTGATACCATAAGTAACTTGATAAAGTAGAAGTAAAATTGAAACTCTCCTCTTCCACTCCACATTTTCAACATAATGATCAACATTCTAAGTGATCTTATGGAACTGTCAAGTCCTAAAAATGCATTCCATATCATGAAGGGAAGATTCAACTCAGTTTCATACAATTACACAGTTGATTTCACCAGATCCTAATATTCTGAAAACTGGTCATCTGTATATTTAGCTGAAGTAAATTTAACCAAATCTAAAGAGCACTGACTGGGCTATACAGTCAAAATAAAGATGTAAAGTACAAATACAGCAATTAACTTGAAAACTCAATTATTCACAACATCAGGGTAGAATTTAAGAATGACAAATACCAGGATGATTGGCTTCAATGTGGAATATAACAAATGCTAATATTTGAATGTTTATTATATTGCATACATTTGCTAAGTGTTTTATTCTATTATTTCACTTAATCCTCAAAAGAATGCTATAGGCAAGGTGATAATATTGTCCTTTTTTTAAAAGATGAGAAACCTTAAGTTTACTGAGGTTAAATAACTTGCCAATGATTCACACATCTATTAACTGGCAGTCTTTTTTCAGAATCAAATTTAGTATCTAACCATAAACTACAGATAGAGAAAAAACAAACTTGTACATTGACCACAATGTCTAAACTCAGTAAGATCTGCCTCAAATTATTTTTTTAAAGTAGCACTGCCCCCCCCCCATCCAGTTCACATTCATGTATCTCTACTTAATGGGTTAAGTAACACTCTGCTGGGCCTCATGCAGATCTCTATCATAAACACCAAACTGTACTATAATCATCTAGTTCCTTTATGTTTACCACAATGCTATAATATCCTTGAAGGCATGATTCTGCCTTATTCATGTTTTATGTCCCCAAGTACCTACCAACTGCCAGGAATGTAGAAAGTAAAGTGCTGGTAAGGGTTCAGTAACACATTAGATCATTTTTTCTATCATCTTCTAAACATCCACATTAAGATAAAACCTTGCTGAAAATAGAAATAGTAAAATCATAGATTCTAATAGGAACTTACTAAGGTCAAATAGTCTATAGCTTCTCTATCATCAATAGCTCATCCCTACTAATATTCTCTACATCTCAAGAAAAATGTCGGAAAGAAAAGTGAGATAAATCTGATCCCCTATGAACTGATCATAAATATGGAATTCCAGAATTAAATGAGTTTATCAAGTCAGATGGTGTTGTAAATCTAGTCTCTTTGACCTTCATACCTAGGAATTTGCTAGGCTTTAAAAAAAAAAATCTGGCAGTTGGTCAGCCTACAAAATTCTCATTTTAAAAGTTCAGTTCTTCAAATAAGACAGATAACATACACCCTTAAAACAGGAAATCTGATGAAATCAGCAGTCAAATTAAAATATGAAAATTATCTTGTGCTAATAGATGATACTGCAGAAGTTGAGCATAGTTAAGACTATGCTAAATGTAAGCCACATATCAAAAACACCAGCAAAAAGAAAAAAAACTGTATGTGATTTAAAAAAGTATTATGATTAACAAATCATCAAACATCTCTTTAAATCTGAAAAGTCTTTTCAATTCTAAAACTGACTACTAAAACACTAGTACATGCCAAACCTTGTAAGCAGTACTATGAATGTTAGCTCAACAAACAGGTTACATGAAGAAAATTCTGTTTCCATACTTACTAAGCACCCATAAGTCACAACTGTGTCCTACTCAAAGACGAAATTTAAAATAGAGAAAGGTTGATGGAAAAAACTCATCAGAAGGGTTCACAAATCAGGGTGTTATTAACACTATAAGCCAAAAATGGAAGCTCTTTAAATGAGCAGTGCACAGTAACAGAAAGCTAGTGTCTGTCTCTACAACTACAAGCAGAGTTAACTCTAAAAACTTCAATTTACACCTCTTCTAAAATCATGGTCCATTTGCCTATACTGCTTGAATTTTTAGGATTCTATTAAAGAGATTTAAAAAAAAACCTTTTTCTTCCATATGAAAAACCAATGTGTTCCTTCAAAAAGTCATCAACACTTCGCCTGCACAATAACTGTGAAATTATTATCTAAATTATCTTTCCTTGTATAAACTGTATATATTACCTAGCTTCAATCTGCCATAGAGCTTTGCCTAGCTAGGTAAGCCTTTATTGGAAGTATAAATAATATTCTTGCAGTCCTTAACACAAGTAAAGAGAGCAAAACTGTTAACACTCCCTTCAACTTTTCTCCCATCCAACTATAATCCACAATTCTCCTTGATGGAAAATAATAGTACATAAATTCAATCTAGAATCTTGCATCAGTTTTCAAAGGTAACAGCATTAAGAAATTGTGTAGTGGAACTAAACATATGCAGAGTGGCCTACAAAAACTACAGATTAGACAACATGACATTTATCACACTATATTCTATAAATCAGAAACTTTCATCACAGTGCTTGCTTGAAACAGTGGTGAATTGGTAGCAGTAATTCTCAGCCTATAAGGGGCACTCAATCTCTTGAAAACTTTACCTCCCATTATAATCGTCCTGACACACCTATCCGGAACAGAATTTTCTTTCTTCTAAACCACACTATCTAAGAAATTCACATACATCTTTCATTTTAACAAATGCTGGTAAAACTTTTGGTTTCATTTAAGATTTCATTACACAGTGAGATACAACAGCAGCTTTATGTACCAGCAAAAATGTACCAATCTTTGAGCAAACATAAGTTTTGCTTCTCTACTTTCCTCACCAAATAGGAGTCTTCAAATAAAACGTCCTGCGGGCACTGGTATTGTCAAAAGACAGATAGAGCTAATCTCCAAAGACTGGTGGCCTTATTTTCCCAAATCACTGCCTTCCATCAATGACCACTTACATACACCTCTTGCGTGAAATACACATTTTTTTTTTTTAAACAGGATCCTTAACAAGTAGGCTTCTAGTCTCGATACCTAGGAACAGAACTTAACAAAAAGACTACCTCCCAAATATAACAGGGAAACTGCAACACAGCACGAGGAAAGAGGCAAGAGGAGTGGAGTTTGTTTTGACCAGAAGAGCCGAGGCATAGTTGATGCCATAGGTATTTAACACATAAATCAAAGTCCTAAGGACAAATAAGTGTTTGCAAAAATAAACACCGACAGTGTGAGAGATGTCGCACAAACAGGAAGGCAGCCCACAGGCTCGATGCAAAGCCATCGAGAGGCAGCCTGGGCAGAATCGGGCCGGAGGACCAAAGAAAATTGACTGTAAAGGATGCTGGCTAATATGGTGCCTTCTCCAGGGTGGAAGGCGATGAGGGGTGGAACCGAAGGCTTCATTCCGCTGGGCTCTGGTCCCTGAAGGCATTGGGCTCACAGCTCAAGTTTCGCCGGAGAAAAAGGAGGCGGCAAATGTGCATCCCGACACCTTAACCCCTGTCCAGAAGTCCCCGCTTTGGGCTTCCGGCTCGAATGAGCCAGAAGTAACGGTCCCCTTAGCACAAGGAGGAGTGCGGACAGAAAGCACTGCCGCTGAAGCCGGGCCATCCGCGCGGCCGCGG